CGTGGACGTGTGAATGATTCTATGTTTCTGTTAGTCGTCCATACTTCAGTCACAGTGTACGCTCTATGTTCGCTATATACGAGTTTATAAATGACGTGATGGTGATTGTCGCTCACTCGGTCTCTCACGGCTCCAGCGTCAACTTGTACCACTTCTCTGTCTTTCTCTCTCTCTCTGCTCGTTCTAACTCCATCTGGTGAAATTCGGCATCAGTATATTCGGGTTCACAAAGATCTCCCCTTGGGTTTGTGGTAAAGGCAAAGTCTTTATTGTCGGTGTCATAATCAGACATGTTGTCGCTAACATTCCGAGCAGTAAACAAAGTGAACCAGGCTCATATACTTATGGCTCTAGCTCTCTCGTTAGCTCTCTCGCGTGGCGGCGGTCTGCGCATGTAAACACTGCCAAACAACTGAAGAAAGTGATGGATCGGTGCGCGGCTGTCACCTGGCGGCCGCGCGCAGTGGTACGTACGGAGAGAAAATAGCGCCAAGCGATTATGAGATCTGACTTTTTTGGCGACGATGGTTTTGTGATGCAAATGTATCACTCTTTTGAACAAATATTGCTTTGAGAAGAAAAACGCTTTAGTATACAGTCCCCACACAACTTGCCGAACTACTTTCCTCAGCACCAAAACCGGTCACGATCTCGGCTCACCGGGCGCTTTCGGGGGTAAGTCGGTGTGGATGCACAACACTGATGACGGGGATGACATACAGATTTATGTCAAAAATCCTGAACTATCCCTTTAAGGTTGTGTCGGGTTATTGATGCCTAAGGTTTACGAGGCACATATTATATGCAGTTTATTTTATTATTTCTAATTTATTTCAGCTGTTTGCCAACACGTAAGTGGCTATAGGGCCATATTTATTTAGTTATGCTTTTTTTTTTTTTGTTTCGATATCAGATATATTTTAAAACACACAGACATTATAGCGTAGACTGCCACTCGGGGTATTTAAAACTTAAAGAAAGACCGATGGAGTGAGGCTATGACTTTGAAATAACATCGGGCAATGGCAGAATGTTCAGAATGTAACAACATCCAACACGAAGGCAAGAAGGTTCAAAAATAGCCTAGTCGGAAAACGCTGTCAGTTAATTAGCTGCGCAAGAAAACCAGGTAAGTTTGGGGTTGTTACGGACAATTAACTGTGTCGGCGGCAAGGTGGGGCATTTGAGGGCCGTGCCCCCCCCTAGCGGCCACTGGTGCCCCACCCCCCAACAGGCCGTTATTATTACTATTTTAAAATGATTTTGATTGGCGAATTTCACTTCGGGCCGAGGGCACAAACTTTACTGTGACATCAATGACGTCACAGTCTCTGTTTATTTAGTGTAGTGTGATTTGGACAAACTGTCCAGCTCCACGATTAGCGGCAGCTGCTACTTTAGCCTAAAGCTCCACACAGGAAATGGCGAGAACAGAGTCAAAGACACACTGACAGACCCGCCGCCGGGACCCGGGACTGTCGATGCCCGGACTCGGGACAGTCGCCACCGGGTCGGGACTCTCGCTGCCGTCGCCGTTGCCAGGGCAGTTGCTCGCTGCTCTATCCGCCTTTGCCCGCTCGTTTCTGGGTGTAAAAGTTTGACCTGAGCATAGCGCGCAGAGGCATAATTCTACCTGGTGCTAATATGGACTGACCGTAACTTTCAGATTTAAGTGGGAAGTGGGATTAAGACTAATTTTACAACCATCTTGTGCACTCGGCTCCCGGACCAGTTTCATCTCTTCATATTGGACAATAGACTTTTGGAAACAGAACCAGTGGGACAGTGGATAGAGGAAACACTTCTGCTTCAGTCTCTGGAGAAGGTAAGAGGCTGGTTTTCATTAGTTTGCGGCAAATCTGAACTTGGAGCCTCACAGGTAAAGAGTGTTATAGTGTTAATAGTTAATAGTGCGTAAATGAGCTGGTGGGTGCGATGGAGCTACTCTGGTTGTTCTGTCGTGTGCTGTAGGAGCGGCATCTGTGTTCATGTCTCTTATTGTAGTTTTACTGACTTTGTTGGGTCTGTTTGCACTTGGCTCTTCATTATGCTCTGATCGATACTGTTCAGCCAATACTAACCAAAATGTCTGTTTCTGGTATTTGTTATAATACTACAGCCTATATATATAATACATATATTATTCATAATATATATTTATAATTTTGCACTTGGTGCCCCTCCCAAAAATTATACCATCAGCCGCCACTGGTCCTGGTTTAGTCCTGGTTTAGTCCCGGTCCCTCAAGTCTCAGGTCTCTATAGGACAGGACTGGACTGCGTACCCTCGCGTACCACGTTCACTACAGCCCTGGTGCTGTCCGATGCGTGGCTATTTCTAGTTCAGAGGTGTTTTTGACGAGAGGCTGTTGTTTAATGTTTACAACCAGTGGCAGGACTTATTGTTTTTTAATAAACCTCAACCTTTTATTATTGTCTTGTGTGCCTATCGTCTACCACACAGCCTCAACAACTATTGCAGCTAATAATAATAATAATCTTAATATAATAATGATTATAATAACAACACATAATTAGCCTAATACTGTTAAAGAAAAACGTGTTTGATAGCATGTCTGCTGTGTATGACTCCACCGCGTTAAAATATTTCTCAGATGGCAGTGCCCCCCCTGCTGGTGACCCATGCCCCTCCAGTAGATGTGCTCTGACGCCGACTCTGACAATTAAGAATGCGAACATACACGCTGAGCGAATTTTGGAATGAATGAGCTATAGTTTGCATTTTTATCGAGGCTCCTTAGTTTGTTTGCTGTATGATTGTTCTAAAATCTAAAATCAATCGGCGGATGGCGGGCGGGTGCGGTTTTGAAAACCTTCGGTGCAAAATGGATAGCGGGCGGATGATGAGTTTTGTGTCGTGGTTGCGGATGAAAAAATAGCCCATCCGCGCATCTCTGGTATGCGGGCGGGTAAGGACTAAATCAGGACTAAACAAGGACTACACCAGGACTAATCTTGGATTTAAGAGAGAGAGAACACAGGAGCAGGGTGTCCACAAAGCATGAACAAGCTGCACGTCTGCGCTTACCTCCATGCTGCGTGAAGCTCCGTCCCGGACGTTTCCCCCGCGGTCACACAACAGTCTGCTCGGGCGCACCTCCAAGCCCGTAGGACAGTGAGTCCTGGTTCAGTTCTGGTTTAGTTCTGTTTTAGTCCTAGTTCAATCCTGGTTTAGTCCTCCTAGTTCAGTTCTGGAATCAGTCCTAGGGTTAGTCCTGGGTTAGTCTTGGTTCAGTCCATGGCGCATGCGGCGCAAAAGTGTGGCATCTCAATCAGTGTTTCTTCTTCTCAGTAAATAATGCCTGTGAAGTGATGATGGCCGAGTCGTGTCTATGAATTTGTATTCCTATTGAAAAAAGCGTTTCGTTTCATTTAATTTCATGACTGTAATTCCTGAAGTCATAACTTTTCAATTTGTATTCTGATGGATGCTTCAGTTAGAATGCTTTTAAGTTGTGTGTGGTTTATCACGGGCACGGGCGGGTAACACGTGGAAAGTTAATGGGTCTGGACGGGTGCAGGTTTAACTTTGATATAATCACGGGTTAACGGGTGGGTCTGGTGCTGTACTACGCGGGTACTAGTGGGTGCGGGTCTCCAAAAATGGACCCGTACAGGACTCTGGGCTGAGTTCTTCTCTCATGTGAAAAACACTCGCTCACTCCTCGCTCCACGGTATTTTTAAACTCCATGCATCTTTGCTAGAATCATTTGGATAATTTCAAACCTGGAATTGTCAATCTCTAGTTAACAAAAGGTTAAAAAAGTAGCTGTTAAGTTGAAACTAACAGAGCATTTGTAGAAAGACTGACTATTAATAAATTTAATCAAACATGTGTGAATGAAATGAAATGAAACTCCTGGATAAGTTTCTGAGGAGGTTACATCATTCTAACATGGCTTAAAGCTCACAAGAGTAAATTCTGCATAATATAGGACCTTTAAAGTGGCAAGATTACATACTTGGGTAACACTTCATGAGATCACACTGTATAAATGTATCTATTCACCCGTCACCCTCTATGAAGTACCTAAACAGCTTCTCTGGGTCACAGTGACTCCCCGACCCTCAAATGACTCACTGAAGGCTCCTTTCTGACACTTGAAAAAGCTTTACACAAGAGATTGATTATAGTTTTCTTGCCCTTTATCCTTGGCCAAAAGTTGTGCGCTGTGACAACCACTGAAGTGTCAAACCTTGAGTGAGCAAGTAGTTTAAGAAGATGCAGAGATGTGTTCGCTTCACTCCCATGGCCCTGGATCCTTTCAAAATGTTGATGTACAAGATTTATTATGTGAAGTGCTGACAGGCTCATGCTTATATAATTGCCTCTTCAGCTCTTTCCCCGTATGCCCTGCCATTTTCTGCCACTTCCTCCTTTCACCTTCTTCAAAATGGTTTGCTTATTTTCTGCTAGGTAAGGATGAAGTATGGTTACATCACGCTAGTGCAGGCTTGATCAGAGTTTAAACTATCACAAAATCCCTGCAAAAACATTTTAGTGAAAAGGTGGAAGTACAGCAAGCAATGTCAACAGTATTTTCTGATCTATGTTATTTATAATGTTGTCTTCACATCAACAACATACCTGGAGTTGTGTTTTGTTTAATTCACACATGTAGTAATACAGGAAATGCTCCACTGTGTTTGTAAATTCCATAAACTCTCACTAGAATCAGTTGGATAATTTCAGCCCTGGAATTGCCAATCTCTTTTGAATTTATTATAATAAGGCAAAAGGAGCTGTTAACTTGGTAACTACTTCTTCATGGCAGATTGAACTAAGGATGTCGATCTTTGGAGATGTTGACAGCCTAATAATCCAGGATTACTCAAACATGTGTGAATGAAACAAAACAGAATTCCAAGTATGTTTTTGATGATGTAACAACACTATAACATGGTTTGCTGCTCACAAGAGTCATTTTTTGTGTAATAGGACCTTCAAACAGTTGAATATTTGCATGCTTGTTTCTACCTGATGCAGTGTTGATGGTCCTGACAGGCTCCTTGGCGCTCACTCTGTTGTTGGGAGGGTAGTCTGGGACGGCGTTGTCATGGCGCTTCTCTGGCACCCGCGGGCTCACCTTGGCAGGTAGGTGACTGTGAGGAGAAAGAGGTTTTAAAGCAGGTCAAAGGAAGAGGAAGCTCCAAGTGTTTTCACGGATCACAGTTATGAAGAGTGGAGCTTTTGACAGTCCCTTTGTGTCCTGTGTGAAAAAGCCTGATTTAATTAATGACTCTTTGGAAAACTGACAGTGCTGTCTGCAAAATCAACTTTCAACAGCTTTGAACCATGTTATAATAGTTTTCCCTTTTCATTTATTCATTCAAAGTTGTATTTAGAGTGCTTCATGCAGGTCTGAGTAAGCTTTATTCTTCTGCATTCAAGACACCATTGTTAAGAAAATTGCCCACTGCTTTATGGTGATATATGCAGAATGTCTAAAATATGAAATTATGATCCACGGGTGTCATAGATTATAACTATACAGCAGACAAAAGAATAACATGTCTTCTTGGAACATAATGAACAGCAGAATGAAAAATGTACACTCATAGAAAAGCTTTTTAATGGAAGCCACAACAAATAAATATGTTGATGTAAAACTCTATCTCTTAGTATTTGATTTACATTTAATAATGCCTCTGTATTTTTGTGCATATTCAAGTCACTTAAGGCGTCATAACAGGAGCAGCCTTCAGGCATCGCCTCAGGAGTGAACAGATCTGAGGCAGACTCTCTGTTATGAGCTCTGACTTACCAAAAACAGAACACACATCCTGCCTGTTACACAGGGTTATGTCTCCATCTGTCTCTGAACTCTGTGACTCTAAAGTGTTTTTTAAAAAGTTTTGAATACAACTGTAGGCTGTTTTAAGATTTAAAGTGGGGCATTGTAAAACCTGTTTTGTTCATATTCTCAAGGACATGGAATTGCTTACAATTCCATGAAAAACACTCTATAGTTCCCATCTAAGTAAAAACTAAAAAGAAATGCTCGTTCTGCTATCAATGCCGTGCAGAGTGTAGATATTGTAGACTGGGTACATGATAAAAGGAGGAGCATTTTAAAGAAGACATGAGTCTCACCCTGATTGGCTGTGCTGCTCGTCAATAGCGTCCACTGCACTCTCCACGGAGCTCAGGAGAGACTGGATCTGATTGGCCGATTCCTTAAGCAGGAAGCGAGTCACAAACTGCTCCACATTGGTCCCTTTCTCATAAACCTGTCCACACAGAGGAAGAGAAAGCATGACTGGAAACGCTCATATATATTTTAGGCATTAGTTTCCCAGGGCACATGTGAAAGACTGCACGATCATAAACTAACACTAAAAAGGTTACATAACATTTCTATAGAGCTTTGAAACATCATAAAGCACCACAGCCTAAGTGCACTGCTCTGTTCTTCTTTTCATTTTCCTTTCAACTTCTGGTGATTCAAGGGCTTCTCAAGGTAAACAGGCAGCACAAAATATCAGACAAAAATAGACCTCCACACCAGGGGCTCCAGTCATCCGTCATGTCCGCCTCTTGTACAGCATCTAAAGCCCTAAAAACCTTTTAGTCTGAGTTTAGCGCCACTCTCGCCAGGGCCCAAAGTGCTGAGGCCCAAAGAGATCCTGTTACAGTTTAGATTCAGCGGCTTTGGGCGAGACAGAAACACAATCCAGCTGATCTTATTAAAGAGCATCAAAACAGAAAAGGAAAATCAATGGAGACGCACACTGTCAGCATCAGTCACAGCATCAGTGTGTCAAAGTCTGCCTCTTGTCTAAAACAGAAGTCTGTGCACACCAAGAAAACAAACATGGATATGTGAATAAAACAGATTGTGCCAAAACTGTAATAATGGTAACTTTGTAGACACTCGGGATCAATCTGAAAAATCAGCTGGAACGGTTAAATGATATTGGTTAAAGGGGCACTGTGTAACATTTTTGGCAACATGCAGATTTATTTTATCATTTACATTGTAGTTCTTTGTTATTATATTATTGTGATGTGTGAGCAACTGTGCCCAAATAATTTCCCTTGTGGATCAATAAAGTTTGTCTAAATCTAAGTCTAAGTAGATGTTATTGTTTTTCCCTGGAATGTTCCACAGGATGGCATTTAATTTAACAATCTCCACGGAGACAAGCAGGCACATGACAAAGCCAAGTTACAGGTCAGATCTGGGGAGAAGAGTAATAATTCACAGTAATAATGCATGATTTTACTGTAGTTAAGAGAAATAAAACCACCTGTAATTGAATCAATACAACTACTGTATTTGTTTACCACCATACTGCGAAACTAGCCAGACTGGTGCCACCTAGTGCCTCCACTCAATTTCATTTCTCTCCAGCGACTAGGTCAGGAATTGGAATACACTCGACCAGGGGTGTCAAACTCATTTTGTTCCGGGGGCTGTATCCAACCTACTTTGATCCCAAAGGGGCCGGATCAGAAAACTCATGTCATATAAACCCCAAAAATAATAATAAGTTCAAATATTTGTGCAGAGAAATACAAATCTATTACAGAAATCTTTTTTTAATTGATGAACTCTTTCTTTTATAAAATATTATAATTTTATGAACAACCTGAAACTTTAAGAAAAAAATTATTTCAACACAGTGTTTTAACATTAAATTGTATGTAAACAGGAATAAGTCAGTTTTTTGGGGAAAATCCTGCACTCGGCTCCACTCTTCTCATTTTTGACATTTTGTTGATGAGGGTGTCACGGTCGACAGTCAAAACGATCGTCCTTTAAGAGCATTTGGAAAGAGACAAGTCTTCATTTGTGCTGCTCTGGTGGGAGGGGCCACGTACAGAGACACTGGAGACGCTGCTATGCTAAGCACCACAGAAAATACAATATTTTAAAAGAAAATATAATTAAAGTATTTTATTAGAAAATCAGCAAAGGGCCACATTAAAGGTCTTGGAGGGCCGGATCCGGCCCCCGGGCCTTATGTTTGACACCTGTGCACTATACGGTTTGCAAGAACCCTGTTAGTGGGAGTCCAGGCACCAGCCAATCAGTGAAGAACTATACATTCTGTGTTGACAACAATTCCCAAGATCAAGAATTTAAAGCTGGAACAAAGAGAATGTTTGATGAATTTTATCAAGGGTAAAGACGTTATTGCCCTTCTTCCTATGGGATTTGGGAAAAGCTTAATATACCAATTTAGCCCTGTAAGTGGTGCATTACATACGTCACGACCAAATAGCAGCAATTGGTTAAATAAAAAAAGTACCCGCCTACCATTGAGCAAATGAATCCTAATGCTGTGAAGTCAGACGGTTTCCATGAAGTGAAACCGACTGATGAATCAGGCTACTGTGAAACATTCTGGGCAAAGCAGTAACATCTCCATTGACAGACCCTCCATCAGAAAGTTGCGCAGTGCACCTTTAAGCCAATATCCTGGTCAGGCCTTTAATTTGATGTAATAAGATCATTTACAAGCTGATTTTGGCCTAGGAAGTCTCATAATGTCTGAACTTCTATTTCTACGAAGCTGTTCAGTCATGAGGTGAAGGATAAATAACAGTTACAAAACAGTAGTAGTAATGTATGTAGTAAGTTATCTGTGTTTTAACGAAATGAGTTCCATTTTCCATCCCTGCAATGGTATCGGTAAGTATCGGATATAGGCAAATACAAGTATCTATGTTGGAACTGAAAAAGCTGAACCAGTGCATCCCTAGACAACCACTATAAAAAGTTTATTTGGGGATTCAGTGATGTTATATCATATATCTTATCATTTACAATGGGCAAATAATGTGTTTTAATACTTACTACTTGTTACTCGTTACTAGGAAAAGGCATTGTGGGAAATCATAATGTTATTTGTTTCATAATCAAATGAACATAACTGTGAAAGTAATATTATTGTCAAATCACATTAGAACACCATTTTGCAAAAGGTAATTTCGGTTCCTCTCTATAGTCGGCTGTGTGGAGTCTTGTGCCTCATTTTGTTTTGGAGTCCCATAACCCCAGAGCTGAAGGAGCAAAAACACTGCATACTTTTACAGTGCTGACCTTATCACCACCATTTAATTATTCAGAGCACTGACCAGCTCATTGGAGTTTAGACTTAGAACTCGACTTAGACAAACTTTATTGATCCACCAGGGAAATTATTTGGACACAGTAGCTCACACATCACAATATATTATAATAACAAAGAGGAACAATATAAATGGTAATAATAAATGCAAAATAAGTAGCAAAAATATAGCAAGAGACTGGTGTCAGATAAGGCATAATTATATATATATCTATTACATAAGGGTGAGTTGTTGTACGGTTATATGGAGTATGGTATGAATGTTGTCCTGTATCTCTCACAAACTAAGAACTTGTTCAAAACAACCCCCCTCAGCCTTTTCAGCAGGTCTCAAACTATAATAAAAAATACTTTTACTTTTCAATTCAGTTAAAAATGTAGAGGTTTAAAAAGTAGATATATCTGCTCTCAGATGTAGTGAAGTACAAAATGGGGCACAGTGGGGCGCCAGTGGCAAAAAACTGTCGTTGTGTCCTTAGGCAAGACACTTCACCCACATTGCCTAGTATGAAAGTGGTGTGAGCGTGAGTGATGGTGGTGGTCGGAGGGGCTGATGGCGCAGATTGGCAGCCTCGCTTCCATCAGTCTGCCCCAGGGCAGCTTTGGCTACAGTAGTAGCTTACCACCACTGAGTGTGGAGTGACTGAATAATGAACTGTAAAGCGCTTTGGGTATCTTGAAAGGCGCTATATAAATGCTATCAATCAATCAATCAATCAATCAATCAAAATACTACTTTAAAATCTACTTAAAGGTGCATTGTGTACGCTTTTCTCCATGAAGATGTTAATGCTTTATCTGGAATGTTTCACGGTATGGTATTAAACCTTTCTATCATCATGGAAACTAAACCAGGCCAAGTCACAGGTCAGATTTGTGGAGAGGCAACCTGGCTCACAGTCAGAATGCCTGTTTTTTGGATATTTTTTAGCTACAAAATCACCTGTAATTGAATAAATGTAGGGTCGAGCTGTTTAATGTCATACTGTGGAACATTCCAGGCAGAACTATGACAACTGCAAAAACAAGCAAGTGGCACACCCCCAAACAAAAAGTAACATAGTTCAACTTTAAGTAGATACAGATACAGTACCTAAAATGTTATGCTTAAGTACAGTACCGCTGGAGCTGTGTCATATTTCTCTTTTTATTTTTTCATCACCGAAAACTTTAGCTAGTCGACCTCCACGCATGAGCAGACCTCCATCAATGGGCCTTGATAATTGACTACATATGTACTCAGGAGAGTGGACTCAGTCACTCATGTCAGACTCTACTGTCACCAGTCACGCCGCATTGCTTCACCAAGACAATTAAGGTTCCAGTGCACTCAGCCTTTCTGCTCCGCACCCTAATCAACGACAAGGGCTCCCATGGGTTGCACAATCGCACGGGCCCCATTGACTTCCATTATAACCGTCAATGTTTTTTTCTTTTACACACTCCCAACACTAGCCATTTTTGCTACTTATTTTGAATTGATGCATTATTACCATTCATATTTTTGCTCTTTGTTATTATAATATATTGTGATGTGTGAGCTACTGTGAAGTAAATAATAATAATAAATAATTTCCCTTTATTTTATTTTATTTATTCTGTGATGGAAATTTATATTGTGGAAATATTTCTCTCAATCTGTCTTTGTGTAAATTAATGTGATTTCTACCTGAGAACCAGACCAGTCAGCCAGGTTCAGCAGACACACCTGTCAGGAAGCCCTTTATTGTCATAGCTGTCCTCAAATGTATGTTAAGTTGATCAGCACATCTGTGAAACAAGTCACTCTGCTTTGATATGTATGTAACTTGTATTTCTATTTAAATACTCAGAGCGCAAATGCTCTGGGGGAGAGACTCAGAGGTGTCTAACGTGGGAGGGACATGCTGCTGGAGGAGAGGCTGTTGGTCTCGTGCCAGGGCAAACCTAGGCCCTGTATTCCAAACACTCATCAGGCTTCACAAATGGATTCATTATGTGTATCATCAAGAGACACATATTTTTTCCACAACAATTAATTTTACATTCTTTTAGAATGGAACATAGTATCATCCGTATTGACATCAATGCGGTCGTATTAATAGAAACAACAACAGCAAATGCCCAAAAAGGAGTGGGAAGAAGAAAAAACTTAATCCGACCAGCATCTTCTA